TGGAAGCAAGAATGGCCAGACTTCGTCTCACCTATTTTGGTCATGTTGTAAGAAGGGACCATTCCCTGGAGAAGGATGTCATGCTTGGTACGGTGGAGGGTCAACGAAAGAGAGGGAGGCCTTCAACGAGATGGATTGACACGGTGGCTGAAATGATGGGCTCAAGTATAGCAGGGATTGTGGGGCTGGTGCGGGATCGGGCAGTGTTTCGTTCTGCTGTGCATGGGGTCGCTATGAGTCTGAAACAACTCGACGGCACTTAACAACAACAACAACAAATTCTTTCTTTATAAAGAAAATCTGAGCAAAATAGGAAAAGAACAGAAATCTGTCAACATAATTATGGGCATGTATGTTAACCAGAAGGTTGGCAGTTGAAAACCACCAACCGCTCTATGGAAGGAAGATGGGGCAATGTACTTCTGTAAAGATTTACTACATCAGAAATCTAAAGGGGGTCACTATGAGTCAGAACTAACTTGATGGCAGTGAGTGTTTGTTTTTTATACAAAACCAACAGCCAACGTTACTCTCAACGGAGAAATATTAAGAGCCTTCTCCTTGAGAACAAGAATAAGACAAGGATGCTCATTATCACGACTTTTATCCAATTATACTGGAGTCCTAACCAAAGCAATAAGGAAAGAAAGACAAATAAAAGGTATTCAAATCAGAAAGGAAGAAATACAATTATCTCTATTTGCAGATGACACAATCCTACATAGAGAAAACTCTAAAAAAATTCCACAAGAAAATGGTTGGATTAAACAGAAGAATTCAGAAAAGTTGCAGGGTACAATATCAACACACAAATATCAGTTAGGTTCCTTTAACTTAAGAAGTATTCCAAAAAGGAAATCAAGAAAACAATTATCATTTACACCAACCTCCAAAATAACAAAACACCTAGGAATTAATCTAACCATGGACATAAAAGACTTATACAATGAAAATAACAAAACATGACTACAAGACACTAAGAGACCTACATAAACAAAAGGACATTCCGTGCTCATAAACTGGAAGACTGAATACAATGCTTAATCACTGTACTACAAGGTCGCCTTAATGATGCAGCATTAAAACTGTGCAAAACTGAAACAAAATATAGGGGAGTAATTAAATATATAGTGATATAGCTATAAGCAAATCAAAATCAAGAAAATTAATTGCAAAAAAGGGCTATTAATATAATTCTTAATATAAAGAGTTCTTAAAAATTGACAGAAGAACTAAGAACTTACAGAAAAATGGGTAAAACATAGGGATAAAATTGATTTTTAATCAGCCAAAGCGACAGGCCTATCAGGTGAAAGATAACATCAGGGAGGTCCACATGCCTTAGACCAACCAATCAAAAGAGATCAAAAGGGCAGCATTTGCCCAGGAATAAAGCTCAGAAGGCAGGAAGGGACAGGAAAGCAGGATGACCAGAAATGGTTAACAGAGGGAGGAAGTGGGAAGTGTACTGTTACATTGTAGAGACTGCAAGCCATGTCACAAAACATGTATGAATTAGTGAATGGAAAACCAAAGTGTTTTATAACATTTCACCCAAATCACAACCAAAAAAAAAAAAAAAAAAGTTTTAAATATAAGCAGATGTTCTTAAGAAAAAAACCGTAAAATTATACCAAGATGTTCTTTCTCACTTTAAATTATCAGAAACACAAAAGTATTATATTAACAATACGATTAACAAGGATTGGGAAAACAGGGAATTACATATCATCAGTAGGAATTCAAGCTGACACAACTCCTAAGGGGATCAGGGTCAATTTGATGCTATTTATCCTAACTATACCACTTTAAAGACCACATCCTACAGATACACTGGCACATGTGAAACAGGTCCAAGATTATTCATTAGTAATATTTGTAACTGCGAAAGTTTGGAAACAACCTTAAATGTCCATTAACAGAAATGGGTTAAATATATTATATATACAAGAAACTATTAACACTAGAAAGCTTCCAATGTACTGAAAAGATACAGTGTGGGGTTTTAAAAAGAAGAATACAGAGTGTATCTAAATGCTTCCTTTTGGGTAAAAAAGGGGGAAGAAGTAATATATAATCATATCTCCCTGTACATGCATAAAGAAACTCTGGAAGGACACATACAAAACTGGTAACAGGGGTTACTTGAGCAGATTGAGGATGGTTGGAAAAAATGTCACCATAAGTATACATATTATGTATATGTACATAGTTTACATTTTTGAACCTCAAGAATTTATTATTTATTCAAAATTTAAGTTTCAAAAAAGGTGGAAAAAAAATTTTCACAGATCCTTAATACAATAAACATTTCTGAAAAGCCCCAAAATTATAAATATTCTATGATCCCAATTATGTTCTTTAAAAACACACATACATCCATGCATATAAATACCAAGTTTTTAGCAGTAGTTTTTCTCTTAGGTGGGAATATTGTGGAATATCAATTTACTATCCTTATTTAGTGTTTTTCAAACTAAAGCATATTACTTTTTTTTTTAAGCATATTACTTTTATAATAAAAAAAAATAAAAGAAAATGTGCCTTCTTTACCTCAAAATCTGTTCCTGACAAACTGCAATTCTCTTCATGAATTTGTAAAACATCTTGTCTCCACTTTTAATTGTGGTCTTCTCATACTTTTCATCACCATCACTAGAAAGACCAAGAGAAGCAAAAAACCTTCTGAGTCTCTAAATCCAGAGAATTGCAGTATTTAGAAGAGTAAAGACAGTTTTCTTAAACAAAAATAAATAAATAAATAAAAACCTTATCAAAGTAATGTATGCACAGAATTTAAACATCAAAACAATTTAATGGCTTACAATGGAAAACAGTAGTCCCCTATCCAACCCTTATCCCAAGCCCCACTCCCTGGGGCTTGGGATAATTATTTGCAGTTTAAAAAGTCATTATGCCATCACATACTACACAAAAACAGTGATCCACATCTTACTTTGGTGAGTAGTGACTGAGATCTTAAAAACTTGCAAGTGTGCGACTGATACACCGTGTGATCCTCAGCCTATATGACTACGAGACCAGAAGAACTAAATGGTGCCCGGCTACCACTGTCAACCACTCAGAGGGGGACCTGTGTAGGAGATCCTCGATAGAGTGGGAGAACAATGTGGAACAAAACTCAAAATCATTAAAAAAAAAAAAAAAAAA